CCAAACCTTTTTTTTTTCTTTTTTTTTTTTTCCCACCAGTACCTTCCGAAGCACTCCTCCAAACCTTTTCTTTTGCAACCCACCCAACCTCTTTGTGTCGTGTTGATGGCGCTGATGATAAGGAAAGATACAGTGGGAGACCGGTACTTCAATGCAGAGAACGGGTCGTTCCTGAATGGCTGTTTTTTTTTCTTTTTTTCTCTCGTTTCCCTTCTTTCTTTTTTTTTTTTTTTTTTTGCGGTTTCTGTTTTCTTTTTTGTTGTGGTGGTTGCGCATTTCCGTTTTGAAAACGAGCGACCATCAGTGCCAGCCGGGGCTCTACCGAGCGTCCACCAGGCCGATAGTGCCAATGAGAAACTTGCCCGGTATTTGAATCTGGACGCGGCCTCTGAACCAAGGGGCGCAACTGTATGTACTGGGCCCCATCTGTATTGGGCCTGGGCGCAGATACTGGGTCCCAGGCGCAGCATCAAGGGAGGCCGCTCATACGGAAGGCCGGCATATAGGCGAGGCAGACGAGGCAGAGGGGACATTCCGCCATTGCGAGCAATGCCGGCACGCTGCTGCTGGCTTGCGGTGCACTAAGGCTGAGGGAGCGGGCTGGCGCTAAGCGGTGGGACGCAGCCTGCGTGCAGGACGCCAGCAGACATAGCCGGGCTGCTGGGAGGGCGCCAGGAGGAGGTGAGGGCGAAGGTCGTCTTCGGGAGAGATGGGCTCTGTGTGGGTAAGAAGAGGTGTGAGTGGGGATGATGTGGCACGTACCTGGTACATGGAGGAGAGGTTGACTACGGTGTTGAGGTCCTAGTACTCTGGTCTTGAAGCGCTGAAGTGATCCTGTTGCATAAGTCAAGCTGTAGTACATACGATAAGTAGTGTAGTTTTGTTTTGGGCGACTGCATCGCCATAGCGACGAACCTGTGGCATAGGTGTTGTCAGCTCTGCACGTTTTCGATTAATGTATCCGGTTTTGTACTTCTTTTTATGTTTTTGGTTTTTGATAGTTGAGGTTTGTTCATTTCCTTTTCTAGTCGAAGGTTCAAACACTGTAGCACAGGTGTTGGTTTTTCATTGTTAAAGGTTGTTGATTTCTTTTTGTTGTTGCTTTGTTGTGTGTTTCTGTGTTGTGTGTCGATTTTTGTTTTTGCTTTGCTGTCTAGGTTGTTTATGCAGTTCCTGATTCTCCATTTCGGGCAGTTCCTTTGCATTCTGCTGCCGTTCTGTCTCCAATTCCGGTTTCTGCAGCTGCTTTCTCTCCACTTTACGACAACGTCTTATTGTAGTGCCGGTGTTTCAGGCTTTCACCATGTCGCACCCCAATGGCAAGGCTGCGGCGGACTCATCCAATACCGCCAAACAAGGTCACAACACGAAGACGTTCAACTCGCCGTTCAAGGTTGATCCGGCAATCGACGGCAAGAGAGATGACCCTGTGTGGCATTTCATCGCAGGAGGTCGTTATTTGTATGGGTCCACTGCGGCTGGTAGAAAGAGTGGTCATCGCTGCCTATGCAGGTTGTGCGGGTGTTCGATTTGCGGGGGCGCTAAGGCCGCCAAGGAACACTTCTCGAAGAGCGAGAAGTTCAGATGTGAGGCGGCCACTGCTGCAGTGTGGCATACCATTTGGTCGAAGGACATGGCGAAATGTCCTAAGGACTTCATATCGGCTATCGAGGCATTGCAGATCTTACCTAACGGTCATCCGAAGTTCCAGTGGCCACCGTTGCGATTCCCCGAGGACTCGGTGCCGGCCCCCGTTTCCACCACCACCCCCTCGGGGGTGGTGCCTTCGACAGGTCCAGCCGTTCGGGTTACAGTACCGTGACGAACACTGCCACGTCCACCAGCTCCAACGTCTGCACCGCTGACTGGGATACAGGGTGTAGACGCTTTGCACGTTGGTCGGTCTGTGCCGGCCAATGAGCCCCCTTTCGTGCGGGGGGGGTTGGAGTGTGCGGCGTTTGACAAGCACGGCACACGTGCTTTTGTTGAGAGCCGCACGCGGGGGAGGGATGTTGGCACTTCGGTCAGAATTGCCCCTGTGTTAACCAGTGCCAGACGCTCACCTGCTGCACGGGCCAGTACTGTTGCGGCCCCTGCTGCAGCTGCTCGCGGTTCGTCGGACCACCCTTGGTTGCCGCCTCCATCGTCGAGAATGGCGCAGGGTGCGGTCGCCGACCATGTTGCTACGACGGACAGACCGGATCCTCCACGCGTACATGCAGATGCTTGACAGGCTGCTTCCCTTCCTCTAGTTGGGGAACAGGCAGTGCCTGTGCCTGGGGCGGGTGCTGCTGAGGTCCCCATTCCGGTGTCTGATTCGTCGCCGACCCTGCTTCCGGCGACGACAGGTGCTGCTGCAGCTGATCCTCCTATACTTACCGGTTCGTTGGATCCTTTGTACCGCACACGCGGCATTGCAGTGGCCCAGAGCGCGGCACCTGCGAGTCCCGGTGGGTTGTTGGATGTCGGGATCCTTGGCGGGCGAGCCACGAGAGGACGTGACCAGGGCACCTATCGGCAGCAGGTCGTCACATCGTATTACTCGGACCCTTTGGAGCACGTGTGGCATTTGCAGATTATGCGCTTCATCGTCAAGAGTGGGATGACGTTCAACTGCGTGAAGCTTGAAAGCTTCAAACGCATGTTCACTATGGTCATCCCCCCAGGGGTTCCAGGGGCTCCTATGCCCAAACTGCCCACGTACCACCCAGTGCGCACGACCCTATTGGACGAGCTGGATGCAGAGGTCCAAAAGTGTGTTCGCCCACTCATTGACACGGCGAGAGAGCATGGTTGCACAATCATGACCGACATCCGGGGTCAGACAATGTGCAACTACCTTGTCGGGACGGAATTGGGGGCAGCGTATGTGGCCACCGACGTCATGCACGGCAAGAAGGGCGCCACTGCGCTCGCGACCTCGTGGTTGAAGAGGGTGAAGTCCATGGACGTGGATTTGAGTGATATCACAGCTTTCGTGACAGACTCCACTGGCGTAAACGTCGCGACAACGGAGGTTTTCCAGAAGGACGAGAGCGTCAAACACATCTTCTGGATTCCCTGCGTTGCCCATGTGATGGACCTCAATCTTGAGGACAACGGCGGGATTGATTGGGTGGCCGCTCGCATCGCACAGGCGAGGTTGGTGACGAGGTTCTTCAAGCGCCATGGCCATGCGCGAGAGGTTTTGGAGGTCTTCTCGAAGAAGACCCTTCTGCTGCCGGCGAAAACTCGTTTCGGCACGAACGTCATCATGATGCAGAGGCTCGTGGACTTGCGGGGAGACCTCACGCAGCTCGTGGGCGACGACAGGTGGCGTGAGACTGTTTGGTCGACCAACAAGATCCGCAAGGACGCCGCAGAGGTCACTGCGTGTATCGGGTTTCGTCCATGGTGGGAGGATTTCATAGCTCTGTTTAAGATGCTGGAGCCTATCATGGATATGTTGAGGTTGGTCGACAACGATACACGCCACATAAGCAAGATTTTGCGTCGTTACGAGGTCATGATCGCATCTTGCTTGTCTGCGTGTCGCGGCATCGACCGGGAAGAGCAGGATGCTATTTTGGAGGTGTTCGATAGGCGGCGCATTATGTTCCGGACCCCCGCCCACACAACAGCCATGTTGTTGGATCCCGATGTCGGTGCGAATACCCTTGCAAGGGTATCCGCCCTGGGTTTTTGCTAGTGACGCAAAAATAGTATGGGTTAAAATTTAAGTATACCATGCTAGGCGCGGCCGCGTCTGTAATTTGCGTGGACAGGATGGTTGACTAGAGTAAAGAGTACGTGAGCGCGCAGGTTTAAGGCGCGCATGATTCACCCCTGGATGTTGATTATGAAACCGGCGCGGATGCCGATCTGTTTATTTTTATTTTTTACCGTTAAGTTTTTATTTCTGGTTAGTCTTGATTAAACTAGGATCTAGGGGGTATTTTCGTTCGATGGCTACGCCTGACCAAGTCGAGCGCACGAGCGGAGAACGACCCCGACGACGACATCGGCAACGATGGCGACGGTGTGACTGTGATAGGCCGGCGCGGACTCTCGGTGGCCGTGTGCGTAGATGTGGGATGAGGAATGGCACAGGGCGCTTTTGCGGCCGTGAACTGCCGCGCCGTATCATCCTATATGGAGTCTCGGATGTAGCTGTTGCAGGCTTGGGCTTAGCCCTATAGGTTACGACAGTGCGTTGACGATATGGAGGTTCGGGGATCGAGGTAAGCGGGCATCGGCGCGGCAACCGCAACGAGGCGTCGCAGAAGGAACCGTTGGGGTTGAGGGCCGCCAGGGCTATCCCCCTCTGTTTTGTTCGGCGGCGCGGTGGCAGGCCCGGTCCACGGGGCCGGTAGGGTACCGACAGTTCTCGTCCTTTCTTTAGGAATTTTTATGTGTATGTGTTATTTTATTTTACTTCTAGTTATTGTTTTCACTATTACGCGCGGCCCCGTTTGATTTGAGGCACGGTAACCCGGACGCGAGCCTGGCCCGGTGCGTGCGCGAGTGCAAGGGGGAGGCCGTGTTGCCTTCGGAGGAGTCGCGGGGCATTCCCCCGGCCGAAGTCCTTCGGGACATCCGTTAAAATTGGAACGATACACAGAGGATTCGCATGGCGCCTGCGCTAGGATGACACGGATAAATCACGAAAGAGCCGGGGCGCTCTGACTTTGACTCCGCTGTCCTACTTTGGAAGGAAGCGGGTGCCTGCGGCAGCGGGGACGAGCGTTAGGCCAGAGCGACGGGGCCGGGCGAGCGGTGCTGCGCAATAGCAAGGGAGCAATAGCGCGATAGAGTGGGAAGGCGGAGGATGAAATCGGACGGGATTTTTGTTGGGTGCAGGCGCAGAGAAGAGTAGGCTGGAGGTGAGGAGGAGTGAAGTGCTGTGGGGGCAGGCGCTGAAGTAGCAGGGAGGAGCGAGAAGAAGGAGAAAGACTGCGGGGAGGCTACGCAACAAAAAAAAAAAAAAAAAAAAAAAAAAAGCGAAGTGAACCTGGCCTAGTTCCGCGCCAGGGTGCATTCAAAAGGAGATGGCGGGTTGCTGAGTGGGCGTGGTCTAAAAAACGTAGCTCCATTGTTCCTTAACGGAATCGAGAGAGGAAGGAGGCATTCCCGGGGGTTTAACCCCGGGCGAATCAGACTGTAGTGTTAGTTTGAGTGATAGGTTAGTAGAAGTAGAGGTTAGTGGAAGGCAGTGTGCGCGGAGAGATGGCGGGAAAGGAAACAGTGAGGACGGAGGTCGTGAAACTCGCTCGTTGTTGAAAGGAAATGAGCGATTAAAGACTCGTTTTCGGGGTTTTAACCCTGGGCGAGTTTGTTGGGAGTATTAGATTAATAAAAGAGTTAGTAAAAGAGAAGTTAGTCGAGAAACAGGCCGCGAGGAGATGGTGATGGCGGAGGGACGAAGGAAAGGAAGGAGTGATACTCCGCTCGATTCTTAACAGAATCAAGCAAGGAAAGGCTCAATCTCGGGGTTTTGGGGGCCTGCGACCCTGAATCCGTGCTCAAGTTAGAAGGAGTATTTTGAAAGTTAGTGGGAGAAAGTTGTGCGCGGAGAAATGTCAGGGGAGAGGGAAGCAAAACGAATGAATCCGGACACGAATCTGTGCCGGATGCATGAATGAAGCAGGGGTGTTGGGTGATGTGAGTGTGAGGGAAGCATCGGTATTGCCTACAAGTAAGTGGTATAACCTGGGTTGATACAACGGGCTGCGCACGGGGGAGTGGCTGGGTTTTGTCACAGAGGGGGGATGAATCTCGCCGTATTTGCGGGCAGATTCGTTCGACTTCTGGTACACCGTTGAGGCAAGCAGTGCGGGGCCGGCCGCGGGGCCGGAGGCTTACCTATGGGCGGGTGAGCTCGACCGCAAAGCTACAGGGAGAAAGGAAGGGGGCTAATTGGGAAACTTACCGATTAGCCGGGGTGCGGGTCGTGCCGCCACGTGGGTAGCAAGAAGGCAGGGAGCGATAATTGAAGGCTCATTCGTGGGCGCTAAGCTGTTTGATGCGCAGCAACAACCGAGTTCGAAAAAAGGGGGGGGACTCTGCCTTGCTAAGCTACTGTTGGATGAACTACGGCTTATCGGGTGGTTGCTGCAAAGACTGCGCAAGCTGCCGTCTGCTGCACATTGTCATGTTGTAATAGGCGTACTGCGTGTTTGTCACAGGTGTAGCGCCCTTTCTGCCAAGCGCTCAGCTTGAACACAAGCTTCTTGTGGTGAAGCGGGAGGGGCTGTTACCGTGACTAGGAGGCTGGGTACTTTTGGCCTGAGTGCACATTGCAGGTGCGGCTGTCTGAACTGTCGCATGCTCGCTGCGTTGTGCACAGCTGTGGCTCCCTCTACTGCCCAAGTAGCTGGACATTCTGACCATTGCGTCAGCCTGGATGGTTCGTTGCTGTGCTCGGTTGTCCGAGTCCGACTTTAGCTGGCGTTCTGCGGCTGCAGTCACTGTGTTTATTACAAATTGGTAGGCTTCAGTGTCCTTAACGACTTAGCTACTCCATACTAGTTACTCCAGCAGGGTACCGTGATGCTGATGCCTGTACGCCATGGAAGTATAGCACGACGGCGTGTTGAGATTGGCATCGGGGATTGGCCAAGGAGAGATGTTGGGGCGTAGAGGAGTAGTCAGACCGTGGTGGTGAAGGGGGCCATTGCTGCGGATTAAGGGCTCATCAGAAGAGTTTGACTCAGCAGCTTGGGTTCGGGTTAACTGACAGCTGCGTGTTTCGGCCGCCATTGCGGGGCCCTCAGGCGAATTGAGATATCAAGGCCCTCTCCTGCGAGTCTGAGGGCACCTCTTATTGGATCTGAGAGTCTCACACTTTTCTTTTTGTATCTTTCTGAGTCTAAGTCTAGTCTGCTGGTTACGATGGGAAGACGACAAGCAGGATTGCAACCCGTAGGTCCGCATCAAGACTCTGTGGGGATTCCACCCACCGATTGCGGGAGCTCTGCCGGAACCTAGGCGAGGTTCTGGAGGCAGGGAATCACCAGGTATACCATCTCCATCTGTACAACCTACTACTACCCATGTTTGCCTATCTTCGTGTAGTATGATTGCGGTATACATGTGATGTCCCTATGGTTTTTGCTTTCTCTTCAAGACCTAAATCAGATTGAATTGAAAGTATGTGTGAGAGTGAAGTTTAAGTTTTATTTTTGTTTTGACAGAAAGTAGACCAAGGATGAACTGGGAGAAGGTGGGAGGAAGACAGACTGCTTGTGATTGACAGGGTCAATTAAAGCCTGAGCATTGTTTCTACTTTGAATGGCTCAGGGCTATGTTGATTTCGTTGTTTTCTGAAGGACCAGACATTGTTTTTACTGTGAATGGTCTGGTCGCTGTGTTTGTTTGATTGTTTTCTGAGGAACCAGGAATTGTTTCTACTGTGAATGGCCTGACTACCCTAGTTAACTCAGAGAGTTTGCCTGATTAAAAGGGTTTAAATTCTTGTTTATTCTGAGGGAGGATTGTTGGTCTACGGCTAAGCATTGTTTCTATGGTGAATAGTTTACCCTGAAAATCACGAACATAAATTAAACTGAGTATAAGGGAAAGTACTTTATGTATATTTGCATATGAACTCGCAGCTGGACATTGTTTCTACTGTGAATGGTCCAGCATTAAGCCATATCAATAAGAAGAGAAAAGAGAAAATACAAAGTATAAATGAAAATAGTTTGGGAAAGCTGAACATTGTTTTTCTACTGTGAATGGTTCAGTCCTCTGCCCATATTTGTCTTTTCTTTTTAACAAAGTCAGAGAAATACTAAATCTTTGGATATTAAACAACTTAGGGCGAATAGGCATTGTTTCCATGGCGAATGGCCTAGTCATCTGCCCAAAAGAAGAAATAAGTAGTTGTTCAACCTGTTCGTGTATATCATAAAGACAAGCTGGGCATTGTTTCCATGGCGAATGGTCCAGCTCTATGTCTTATGTAAGATGGGTATAGGGATTCAAGAACTTGAGGATTCATGAACTATTTATATGGAATGAACTTGGGATGGTGAAGGTACTTATATTTGAGGCTTGGTTTGCATGTGACAGGGTGGGATGACTAGTTTGTTTGTGTTTCAGCTTTATAGGTAGTTACTTTTGTTCCTCGCCGCGTGCTAGAGCCATAGGAGTTAGTGTCAATTCCTGCATTTTCTGTAATAACTTTTTTTACTTAGGTCAATTTCTGCATTTTCTGAGATCTTTCTTATATTTGGCTTTGTATAAATATTGGCAAGCTACCTTTCCTACGGGAAGCGCTGTCGAAATTTCTACAAATCCAAGAAGTTAGTTAATTTTTGACTTGTCTGAGTTCAACTTGTCTTTTCCATATATCTGACTCAGTATAAACCTGGAAAGTCTTCTTTTCTAGAGGGAGTGCTGCCCAAATTTTTACTAATTCAGAGAGTTAGAAAAAATTGGACTTTGAGAAGTCAAAGTTATTCTCAAATTCTGGACCTTGCTTTGTATAAATGTTGGGAAAACACTTTTTTAGAGGGAGCGCTGCTGAAATTTCTGCAAAAGTGAGGAGTTAGTTAAATCTTATATAAATTGAACTCAAGTTTGTCTTGTCAGTTTAAACCTGACTTAGTATAAATCTGGGAAGTCTCCCTTTGTAAAGGGAGTGCTGCCCAAATTTTTACTAAATCAGGGAGTTAGACAAGTTTTGACTTTCTAGGAGTTAGAGATGATTTTTCTGATATATATCTGACTTAGTATAAATCTGGAAAGTCTCCTTTTCTACAGGGGGTGCTGCCCAAAATTTCTACTAATTCAGGGAGTTAGACAAAATTTGGCTTTCCAGAGTTACAAATTATTTATATTTTTCATATTTAGACTTATATAATTCTGGAAAGGCACTTTTCCAACGGGAAGCGCTGCCGAAATTTTCTTAGTTTAGAGGAGTTAGATTATATTTCGACAGGTGGTGATTCTGGCGATCCACCCTGAATAAGGGAGGTCCTGCCATAAGTCAACTTTTGTTTTGGGCACTGGCTTAGAGTTAGCCTTGGACTTAGTTGGCAGGTAGCTTGAGTGAGAATGAATTATAGAGTTGTAGTCTCCATACACTTATGATCTTAGCTTGGGGATTGGTCTGCCGTGTGTTACGGACCTTTTTTTATCATTTGATTCAAGTTCAGGGCTAGATCCAACTTGATCCTTTTGAGGATTACTTTCTGTTATCACTAATAACAGGTCGGTTGCCGATTCGTTGGTCTACGACTTAATTTCAACTTTCCCTCCACACTCAACCTAAAAGGCTTTAGCCTTGGTGATTTCGTTGTTTTATTAAGGTTTCACCCGGACTTTTATTGAATGGTCATTTAACAAAGGTGCTGAGTATTTAATTAAGGTTGGTTGGACAAGAGGTTTTGGGGTTTGCATGGCTAAAGCAAGGGGGTATGAATGTCAAAGGTGGTTGGGGTTGACTCCGTGTAGTGTGTGGGCTGTTCATTTGGTTTGTTGATGTGATGGCAGGTATGTGCTGTGAATCAGATTTTGGATTTGGTTGCCTACGATCACACATAGACGTATTATTGTGAGAGACTCAAGTGAGACCATGAAAAGTGATCGTCACATACTTAACCCTTATATATGTATACATGGGTATACTTGGGATGAATGTTTGCATGGTTTGAAGAGTCCCCATACTAAAAATCCTACTTAGAAGTTGAGGCTAAGGGGCTTAGGGGAAGCCTCTCCCTCTATTTTTGTTTCTTGCTTTTTGATGATTTTCTTAGTCGGACGTTTGGTCCTGGACCGGGATTCAAAGTCCTTGTCCAGAACATCCCAAGCCCTAGGCTCTGCAGGGAAGGGGTTTTGTCTCGCGCAGAGCCTATTTGCCTTGCCTATCGAGACGCTCAGACTAAAGGTGGGAGGTCTCGCGGCGGCTGCACGACTATTCCTTCAGCTGTGCAATGTCGTGAAGGATTAGACCCTCACGACACTTCGAGTCTGACGCTCGAGTGTCATAAGCGACTTGGATCCACGAGGGGCCGTTTGATTATAGGCACTACATAGTACGCCATCGCCGCGACTGCATGCGTACGCCTGCATTGCGGGTTGGTATGAGGTAGGCCCTCGGCCACGCAACTTATATTAAAATCCCGCTCACGACGTTTTACCGCCCCAATGTGTAAAAAGTTATGGGAATACAAAAGGGACCGACACGTATGGGTAAATGTTTGAGATTGTCATAGGAGGCCAACGCCGCGCGAAAAAGGGAGGGTAACCCAGGGCTATGATTCTGTTTACTAGGCGGGGAAACCTTCGGCCTACTCCTTATCTTTTTGCTCTTTGGAGTTTTTACAGTTGGACGTTATAGTCCGTGGCAGCCGTCAAAGTCAAGCCCCTTGATGTTCGACCGCCATAACAGCTTAGAGCTGTCTAATCAACCCCTCTGCCTAGGGTGCAGAAGAGGGTACGGTCTTCAACCGCGCATGGCGGTTGTCCAGCGTTGAGAGATTAACCCTAAAGGCGTGTGTCAGCCGACACTTGAGTGTCGAACGCGACCCTCGCGATTAAGGGGGATCGCGTGAGAATGTGTACCATGTAGTACGCCTTCATTGCGACTGCTTGCGTACAATTGTATTGCGAGTCGATATGCGTTAGCCTGCGTCCGCGCGGTTTTATCCTGAGTCTCGCGCGCGACGCCTATTCGATTTTCGCATTGGAAAAGTTATGAGTTGGCTACCGAGGGGCTAGGAGCGTTGTCGCGTTGTTTATGTTGTGTCGTTTCGTATATGTGTTGTTTTGTGTGTATGTGTGTTCGTAAAGTGGAGTGCGCGTGGTGTGTGGGATGCGTCCTAGTCGACCGACGACGGGTCTCGCTTAAGACCTCACCCCCCCCAGGATGCCGATTCGCGTGTGGGTTCGATAGAGGCGTATTACCGCGCGTACCCCCTATGCTACAGCGAAAGAAAAACGCCCTCGGCTGGTCCACCTCTGCGATTGTAATTGATTAGCTTTCGTACTGTGGGTTGGTAGCTCGGCGGGGATACGCCCACCGAAGTGAGGTGACAGCTCCCGTAAGGTGTAGGTAAGCCGTGCCTCGCGTAGGCCCTATCCTGTCGTAGGGGCTCGCGAGAGGGATGGCTGGCACACTCGGCTGGAGCGGCTTAAGGAAGCTCCGTATATATTGCGACGAAGGATTTGAAACCAACTCCTGCTTGACGCGGCCGGGAGGGTCTCGCGCTACCCTGGTGCGGTGCCGGACCGATGCGCTCAACACCGAGTTCCGAGACCGAACGCTGAACGACGACCAGGAGGTGCAGAAGGGATTGATCGAAGCCTTGGTCCAGTTCGGCTACACGGAGGGATCAGTTTAGCACGACGAGGTCCTTAAAGCGGACGACAAGTTTCGTACGAAGGAGCCTCCTTTCGATGATGTAAGCATGCGGCGAGCAAGGGCAAGCTACAACCACCCTGCCAGTTTTTGGTCCGCAAAGAGCGCGAAGTACCCTCATACAACCGTCTTTGCCGGTAGGATCCTTCGCATCTGGGCGACTGCATCGCCGTGAGAGAGAGCATGGTCTCGCTGGAGCCTCATTCATTCGAAGTCACGGAACAGGTTAGAGGTTCCTCGGGCTGAGAAGCTCGTGCGATGCCACTTGAGCCTCAGACTACTCGACAGACCGTCGTTGTGTGACGATACTCCTGATGACAGACCCGATGTCTTTGGAAACTGGGTGCATTATTGCCAGGCCGTGGAGGACGAGGTGGCAGTGGACCAGCAGCACGTCAGAGGTAGTGGTGCACTGGCGAGGGTGACTGAGGAGGAGTTGACTCACGCTAGAGAGAGGATGCGCATCGTTTCCCGCATGGGAGCCATGCGACGGGTGGAGGAGTCCGATAGGAGGCGACGCAGGGGTGGAGGTCGTGCACATGGAGGGCATTGGCGATCAGGTGTCGGAGGAACGAGGCGTGGCGGTGGGGATGATGTGTCTTGGAGTCGTCGACAGCGGGCGGGCGTTTTCATCCACAAGGCCCGCGAGCGTTGGGACGAGGGAGACTTTTTGTTCGACAGCTCATCCAGCGACGGCGACGATTTCTTCGCATTGGGGACGCCCGCGCGTACGGACGATGAGAGGAGAGATGGCGACGACAGAGGTGATGGCAGACGTGGCGGCGACAGGGGAGGTGGTGGTGGAGGTGGCGGTGCCGGGTGAGGCGATGGGAGTGGTGTCGGCGGGGGTGGCAGGGGTGGCGGCAGCGGCGGCGGGGGTGGCGGCGGCAACGG